AGCCTTCAATGCCTCCCTAAGACCAAGTTCCCAAAGTCTGGGTCAAATAACCTCAGTTCTTGTGCATGTGAGGCAAGCACTCTACCAAAGGAGCTATAGCCTCAGTCCTCTGTGGGATTTTAATATAGGTGCCAGGAAAAGAATAGTTACTTGGCAGGGCGTGGTGATGCATGCCTGTAAWCCCAGTAGTTCAGGAGGCTGAGGCAGGAGGATCACAAGTTCAAAGCCAGCCTCAGGAACTTAGTGAGGCCCTAAGCAACTCAGCGAGACCATGACTCTAAATAAAATATGAAAAAAGGTCTGTGGGGGAGGCTCAGTGGTTAAGTACCTGTAGATTCAACCCTGGTACCCCCCTCCACAAAAAAGAATAATTTTTCATTGAAAACTTTGGGCTATGCAAAATGGATCCTATCTCTTTACTGTAGGACTTCTCAGAGTCTTTAATATGCCTGGAGACTCCAGGGAGGTGGAGCCAGTGTTTAGCACTTTCAAAACTTATGTGACCACAGAGCTCTCTGTAGCATTTCCTGGGACAGGTATTCTTTATTGTTCACCCTGAAAAATGCAGGCATCTCAGGGTATACCAGGTCCTCTGTGACCTAGCTAACATTCACCTCCCCAGTTTAAGCCTGAGCCTTAGTTTCTCGAAATACCGAATCATGGGCTGGGGATGTGGCTCAAGCGGTAATGCACTCGCCTGGCATGCGTGGGGCGCTGGGTTCAATCCTCAGCACCACATAAAATACAGATGTTGTAGCCACCGAAAACTGACAAATAAATATTAAAAAATTCTCTCTCTCTAAAAAAAAAAAAAAAAGAAATACTGAATCATTTATAATCCTCTAGTGCATCTCATTTTCTGCTTGATCTAGATCAGGGGTTGGCAAACTCTATAAAGCAAAAGATAGTGAATAACCTGACCTTACAGGCTAGCTGATCACTGTCGMAATTACTCAACTCTTGTCTGTGCAGACTCCAACAAGCCACACAACAGGTAAATGAACGGTGTGGCTGTGTTCCAATTAAAAAAATTACTGATGTAGGCGTCAGGGTCACAGTTTACCAACCTCTGATGTAGATCTGCACTGCCCAGAGGAACTTCCTGTAAAGCCAGAAATGCTCTGGAGCTGTGTGGTCCACAATGATGGCCAATAGCCATGTGTGTCTTTTTTTTTTTTTTTTTTTTTTGTGGTACTAGGGATTGAACCCAAGGGAATTCTACCACTGAGGTACATCCCTAGCCTCCCAACCCCCCCCCACCCAGCCTTTTTAAAATATTTTGTTAGTTGTCAATAGACTTTTTTTTATTTATTTATATGCAGCGCTTAGGACTGAACCCAGTGCCTCACACATGCTAGGTCAGCGCTCTTCCACTCAGCCACAACCCCATCCCCCCCCCTTTTTATTTTTTATTTTGAGACAAGGTCTAAGTTACTGAGGCTGGCCTTGAACCTGTGATCTACCCTCCTGCCTTAGACCCATTGTGAATTGCTGGGTTTACAGGCATGAGCCACTGCAACTGGCTGGTGCATGTGTCTTTCAACRGGGATTTCTGGGAAGAAGCCAGTGAATGTGTGTGTAAGTCTGAGGCCAGTGATCTGGAAAATACTTGCTGAACCCAGACACTCTCATATTGGGAGAATGAGGAGCAGACAATCTTCCGAGTTTAGACTCTTGCAGTTTTTTCCCTCCGGTGGCTGCTTTACTTGCCCTGGATGGCGGCCCTACTTGGCGCTTATCTTAACCTAGAGAACTCCTTGTAATTGTCCTACCCACAGCCCAGTGCCTAAATGACACCCCAGGACTGAGATGAATCGCTTCTGATTTCAGGACAAGTTGGATCTGGTCTCTTGGGTATGAAATAATGAACCCCACCCTAGGGAGACTGACTGGGGTGACTACACAGGGGCAAGGGGATCTGTATACCCAAAGTCACTGGAGCTGCGACTAGTTAGAACCACTGTCCTGCAGGTTCCTATGTAGAAAAAGACTGTCTAGTGAACCTTTTCCGGTTCTCTTATTAACACTCTGCAGTGCTGGAAATGACGTCTGCAAACACAGGCCACTCAGGAAGCTTAAAGAAAACCAAGCAGCCAGGCTCCTAAGTCAGACCGAGGTGCAGTCAGAGCACAGTGCTACATCTGCTCCTGGGAGTGTGGCAGAAGACTCAGCTCCGTTCTGGGGAAGTGACGTTGAAGGACATTCACCGTGAGGCAAGAGGGAGTTTGAAGACTGTGATCTACCTGAGTGTGATATCAAATAGCTGGGATTCTTTTGATTATGTTCCCTTCTAGCTAGTAAAGAAAAAAGGTGTTCATGGAAATTAACAGTACTTCTATCCCAAAAAAGGAATGCTTTGGGGATGGAGGAGTGATACTTAAAGTACCCGTGGATGGGCAGATTAAGATCTGTCGATGGACCTTTATTTCATTCATTTATATGTGGTGCTGAGAATCGAACCCAGTGCCCCAYACATGCTAGGCAAGTGCTCTACCACTGAGCCATAGCCTCAGCCCCAGATTAAGATCTGGACAAGCAATTGGCCAAATTATATTATCATGCCGTGTGCATGTGTGGATATCTAACAATGAATTCCACTACTACGAACAATCCTAATGTACCAATAAAAAGTTGGGGGAAAAAGGATCCAGACAGGCAAATTCATAAAGGGAAATGGGTCATGGCAAGGAGAGAAGGTAGATTCTGAACAGAATGAACAGCCCTTAGAAAGCCACCAGGCTATGTTTTCTGGTCTGGCGAGGTAACGAAGCATCGTGGTTTAAGTGCATGGATATCAGCCCCTGCTGCCTGGGTTTGAGTCCTGGCTCTAACACTTAAGCTGTACAGTTCTAAGAAAGTTACTTAACCTCTCTGAGTCTCTCTTTCATCACATACAAAATTAGGATAATAGCAGCATTCATCCTGTGCAGCTTTTGTAATGATTAAATGAAATTAGCACATGCAAAGTTTAGTGCTGTGGTGAAACTGTGATTAGATCCCATGAGGAAGTGTGAGGACCAGCACTGGAATTCTGAGTCACAAATTACTCTTATCTGTGCTCCCAACAAGGATTGCTCAGTTATGGAACTGCAGCCCTCTGATGCATCAGACCTAATCAGCACCTTGTCACTGACGTGAGCTACAGAGCAGTGTCTGACAGGAAGCTGCTGGTCCTTGGGCCTCTGACCAAGGCTCCTGCGGTTTTGTGAAGTCCTACGAGGTCCCTCCGCCAAGAAAAAGCCAATAGCAGCCTTCCTTTTCAACCTAACTTGATTCATGCAATTTCAGTCCTGTCCTGGAGACGCCAGGCTGGAGGGCTAGAAATAACCACTCCAGGGAGCAACAGCACATCCCCAATCCACCAGGGACGTGGCTCTTTAACAAGCCAAATTCTCTACTTAGGGGGAAAATACTATCTTTGGTCAATTGTTATCTCTCTTCCAGAGACAACCCCTCTTCTGATTCCTAATTCTAAAGTTTGGTTTGTGAAAAGTCACCATTTGTTAATTTAGAATAGTAGTTTCCAATCAGCAATGATTTTGTCCCCCCTTGGACATTTGCTGACATCTGGAGATTTGAGGGTGGGGTTACTGGGGATTGAACCCAGGGGTACTTAACCTCTGAGCCCCATCCCCAGCCCTTTTTATGTTTTATTTAGAGATAGGATCTTTCTAAGTTGCTTAGCGCCTTGCTAAAATGCTGAGGCTGGCCTTGAACTTGTGATCCTCCTACCTCAGCCTCCCAAGCTGCTGGGATTACAGGCATGCACCACCATGATTGGCTGGAGATATTTTGGGATTGTCACACTGAGGTGATACTAATGGCATCTAATGAGCATAGGCCAGGCCTGCTGCTAATAAATATCCTACAATGGGGCTGGGGATGTGGCTCAAGTGGTAGCGCGCTCGCCTGGCATGCGTGCGGCCCGGGTTCGATCCTCAGCACCACATACCAACAAAGATGTTGTGTCCGCCGAGAGCTAAAAAATAAATATTAAAAATTCTCTCTCCCCCCCCCACTCTCTCTTTAAATAAATAAATATCCTACAATGCATAGGATGGCCCCTCTCAACAAAAAAATCACTCGACCCCAAATTGTCGACAGCACTGAGGTTGAGAAACCCTACTAAAATGATTACTTCAGACAGCTGAAGCCACACCCCGGACATCTGCAAATAAACAACTCCTGTAGGTGCTCCAAGAAGGATGCTCAGTTGTGAAACCGTGTGCCTGAGTGGCAAGACCTGACCATCACCTTCTCTTGCCATCAACAGGATGGAGAGATGGAAACTTCACCCTGAGTGCTCAGGCCAACATCAGGGTGGTAGAGGGGACAAGCTGACAACACAAATTCGTCCTCTGGCTGAGTCACACAGACCTGCCTCTGGATCCTCACTAACCACTCATTCTGAGTGCCAGAGGATATATTCCATCACCTCTGAGTCTTTCGGAATATCTCCAATTGCAAAATTCAATTCCTTGGTTGCGAGAATCTGAGAACTCAGTCCAGGGGTAGGTGCTCTGTCAATGCATCCTCACCCCACATTTCTTGGATGCTCCCGAGGCAAACACTTTCTGTGCTGACTTCTCCATGGACCCCCAGAAATTCTGCTGCCTTGTGCTTTGATCTGGACCACACAGCCCAAAGTCTGAGCAAGGGATGGGGCAGGGAAAGTAAAGATAGGCCTACAAATTCTGTACTTACCAACAGGGGAGATCCAGGAATCACCCAACGCAACCCCAGAAAAGTTGCACTTGATGGTCCCTTGCTGAATGGCCTGAAAGGGAAGCCAAGAAACACCCTCATGAGGGATCAGGGGCCTCAGCCCTTTCTCAAGGAGGCAGGCCTATCCACCCCCTTTTCTGAGCATGGAGAACTTCTGCCCATCCTTTCCTAGATTCTCTGGCCATTGAAAGACCCAGGCACCCACAAAGAGCAGGGGAGCTCTCCAGTGGCCATTGACAAAACGAGGAGGAAGCGCCTGCTTCTCTCTCCTTTGTCACAGGGTGCTGGCAGGATGTGTGTGAGGTCTGTCCCTAGTTGTCTCTGGCAGGAACATGGTCACACCCCCCCCCCAAGAAGTCTGTGATCCTCCCAAGGTGCTTGGGATTAATGCCAAGTAGCAGTCACTGAAGGGCTGGAGTCCTCGAGGATGCAGGGGATGCCTTAGGACAAGAAACTTGGACCCCTGATTCTTTGATTCATTTAAATATGAATCTGTCCACTATCAGGAAATTGGAAATAACCTAAACATTTATCAATAAGATGAGCTACACAAATCCTGGTTATTTCCATGATGTATGAAAAATCTTAAAAAAAAATAGTAAGGCTCTGTAAGTACTGATATGAAAATATCTCCAATATATGTTGTTAATGTTTTTAAAAAAGAGAAATACAGGACTGAGGTCGTAGCTCAGTGGTAGAGCGCTTGCCTAGCATGTGTGAGGCACTGGGTTAGATCCTCAGCACCACATAAAATAAATAAAATAAAAGTCCATCAACAATGAAAAAAATATTTGAGAGAGAGAGAGAGAGAGAGAGAGAGAGAAGAGGAGAGAGAGGGAGGTACAGAATGATGTGTATTATACAAAAATGGGAAAAAATAATATACATAAATTTATGTAAATTAGTTTACACAGCATGCAGCATCTCTGGAACAATCCAGAAGTCCAGAAGCAGCTTAATAAATGTTTAATAAGTGCATTAGGGGAGGGGGACAAAGGCAAGACTGAGAGCTTAAATAGCATTCTTTTTATATTTCTTAAAATTTTTAATTATGTGAATATAAGTTACTCAAAGATCTAGGCAGGTGTGGTGGTGCACAGCTACATGTAATCTCAACAACTCAGGAGGCTAAGGCAAGAGGATCTGGAGTTCAAGGCCAGCCTCAAAAATTTACTGAGACCCTGCTTCAAAATAAATAAAAAGGGCTCGGGAGTTACCTCAGTGAAAAAGCACCCCTGAGCTCAATTCCCAGTACCAAAAAAAAAAAAAAAAAGGCTATTAAGAGATCTAAAACAAGAAAACAGGACTGGGGATATAGCTCAGTAGGACAGCAGTTGCTAGGTATGCATGAGGCTCTGAGTTCAATCCCCAACACCACCATCTAAATAAATAAATAAACAAAACAAAACAAGAACATGGGGCTGGGGTTGTGGCTTAGTGGTTAGAGTGCTTGCCTAGCACATCTGAGGCCCTGGGTTCAATCCCCAGCACCACATAAATAAATAAATAAATAAATAAACAAACAAACAAAATAAAAAAAAAATATATATATATATATATATAAAAACAAGAACACAATGAATAGCCTGACTTTGAACATCCGTATTAACGAGGAGGAATTATGCATTTGTTTGACTTTTCCAGAAGAAATTCAYTTGAGTAATTTAAATAGTCCCAAGTAATAAGGGAAGTCTGCCTTGTAAAAGAGGGAACAGAATGATAGCACTTTGGAACTTCTAATGAAATCAATAGTCTAGATGAGAATTACAACCTGAAGTTGAAAAGTGGATGAGGAGCTGGACACCCAAAGAGCAAAACCAACTCTACTCCCATAACCTTCTGTTGCAGGGGTGGCTAAAAGGGTTCAACAGAAAGGTCCAACTAGACTGAGGTATTATGATATGCTTTCAGATTTGATGCAAAACAAATGCATATCACCTATGACAGAGGTCAGCGATATTTTTAATAAAGGGTCAAATATTAAATGTTTTCGGCTTTGTGGACCAACCAGCCTAAATTATAATTACTCAGCTCTGCCACTGTGGTGCTGATGCAGACATAGTAATATGTAAACAACTAAACATTCTAACAGAGCTCTATTTATAGACACTGAAATTTGAGTTTCATACAACTTTTCATGTGTCATGAAATACTATTCTTCTTTTGATTCCTGACCACCTAAAAATGGAAAAGTCATTCTTAGCTCATAAGTTGTACAAAAACAGGTTGGGGGCCAATGTGACTCATGGGTCATAGCTTACTGAAATCCGACTTTTATTATTTTCTATTTAAAATGATTACCCTGAGGGCTAGAGTTGTGGCTCAGTGGTAGAGCACTTGCCCAGCATGTGTGAGGCTCTGGGTTCGATTCTTAGCACCCATATAAATAAGTGAATAAAATAAAGCTCCACTGGGGCTGGGGTGGTGGCTCAGTGGTAGAGCGTTCGTCTAGCATGCATGAGGTACTGGGTTTGATCCTCAGCACCACATAAATGTAAGATAAAGATATTGTACCCACCTAAAACTAAAAAATAAATGTTTAAAAAAAAAATTTAAAAATAAAAAAATAAAGGTCCATCAACATCTAAAAAAAATTAAAACAAAAAAATGTTTACCCTGAATGCATCAAGCCTTTAGATAGAACTTCCAGTTTTGTAAGAACTACAGTGAATAGAGAAATAGGTTAAATAATTCCACAAAGAAATTGCCAGACAAAGCCAAGAAACATGACGTTCTGTAAGACAAACGCTCTAATCTCTTCAGCACATCATGGTCATGAAAATAGGGACTGTGCTAGAGGTAGACAGTCCTTGGGGACATCACAGCCAGATGTAACTCATGTGTATGGACTGAATATCGGCTTGGGCAAAGCAGCTATAAAGGACATGTTGGGACAAACTAATGAAGTCTGAATAGCTGAGATGAAAACTGGTTGAAACAGAAAGGTAAGGACAGAAGACTGAGGACCATGTTTTGGTTAAAATTTTTTTCATCTATACAGAAAAATATTTAGAAAGTGATATGCTAAGGTGTTTCCTATCTGGTAGGAAAGTTAAGAAAGTGAAGCTTGCTTCTTCTTTTTTTTTTTTTTTTTTTGGTACCAAGGATTGAACCCAGGGATGCTTAGCCACTGAGCCACATCACTAGCCCTTTCTATGTTGTATTTTGAGACAGGGTCTTACGAAGTTGCTGAGGACCTCACTAAGTTGCTGAGGCTGGCCTTGAACGTGCAATCCTCCTACCTCAGAGGATTTGCAGTCATGAAGCCACTGGAATTACGGGCTTTCATTTTTCCCTTGTACTTGCTGCATATTCAACCTCCCTTCCTCCCTTCTCTGTGTCTGTCTCTCAGTGGTGCTGGGAATGAAACTCAGGGCCCTTGCACATACTAAGCATTTGCTTCTATCACTTGTATCTTTTTATTTTCTTTCTTTCGTTTTTTTTTTTTTTTTTAGTTGTAGATGGACACGATATATTTATTTATTTATTTATTTTTATGTGATGCTGAGGATCGAACCCAGGGCCTCACACGTGAGGGGCAAGCCCTCTACCACTGAGCCCCAGCCCCAGCCCGTCTTCTGACTTTCTGTGACGCCCATATATTGCTTCTACAGGATTATTTTTTTAAATAATTAATACATCTTTTTAGAAACACTCATACAAGCTCACCGTTACACAACTTAAACACAGAAGTCAGGAGAAAATGGGACTCTCTTACTTTGCCCTAATTGTGCCCCACACCAGCTAACTCTAGTTAATGTTTTCTTCCTGACCCATCTTTGCCTTCACAAGCATATAAATATACAGCATTCATAATAAACCATATGTAATAGATGTGTCTCTTCATTTACCAACAAGGTATCCAAAATTGTCCTACAGCTTGCCTGCCACAGAGCAAAGGGAGACTTCCCAGCCTCAGCCTGCACCGCTCTCTCCACTCTTCATGACTGCAAAGTGTCCCATCACTTAACGTGAGCCATCCTCCTCTGACAGCCATCGAGCTGTTTGCAGTTTGTGAACATCATGAACAATGACATAATAAATATCCTCTGAGAGACACATATGTGTAAGTATTTTTGTAGGACAGATTTTGGGGAGTGAAGTTATTGGGTAAATGGGCACCTACATTTCCAAACTTGATACATGCTGCTAAATTGCTCTTATTTTTAAATGACTTACCTCCATAAATAAATAAATAAGTAAAAAAGACTTAACAATGTCCATTCCCACCCAAAGCACACAAGGGTATTTATTTCTCTAACTTCTTACCCAAACTGGATGCTGCCAGTCTTTTAAATAATTGCAAATTTCAAGGGCGTGGCTTACTATTAATAGTTGAAGATTTTTCATGTTTGCAGGTGCTTATCCATATCCTTTGCCCATGATTTTACTAGGATATTCTCTCTCTCTCTTATTTTTTTTTTTTAAAGAAATAGTAGGGTTTTTTCCTCTCAAATTCCTGAAAGCTGCTTGTGAATCTTTCCATTTGTTCACTACAAAGGTTGAATTTTTCTTTTTAATATTTTTTTTAGTTGTTGACAGACCTTTATTTTTATTTATTTATATGTGGTGCTGAGGATTGAACCCAGTGCTTCACATATGCCAGGTGAGTGTTCTACCATTGAGCCCCAGCCCCAGCTCCTAGGATATTCTCTTTTAAAAATGGATTTATCAGGCTGGGGTTGGGGCTCAGTGGTACAGTGCTTGCCTAGCAAGTGTGAGGCACAGGGTTCGATCCCCAGCACCACATAAAAAAACTAAATAAATAAAATAAAGGTATTGTGTCCATCTACAACTGAAAATATTTTAAAAAATAAATACATAGAAAAATAAAATGGATTTATTGATATATTGATATGACTACCTTTTTTCTATTATATATTTGTACAAGTGTACATTTGTCTATATGTACATATTTGTGTGCTTGTGTTATGTATGCATGTGCATACATACACACATACATAAACACAAACACATACATATACCTGTATATGTATAATTGCCTATGAGGCCCTAAGAAGTTTTACATGTAGCCCAACAATGAAACTTTTCCTATGTGGCTTCTGGATGTCTCATTAGTTTTTTGTTTTGTTTGTGTTTTTGCTTTTTTTAGTACTGAGGACTGAATTCAAGGGTACTTTACCATTGAGCTACACCCCCAGCCCTTTTCATTCTTTGAGACAGGGTCCTGCCAAGTTGCTGAGGGCTGGCCTCTCATTTACAATCCTCCTGCCTCAGCCTCCAGTGTCTAACTGGGATTTACAGGTGTGCTCCACTGCACCCAGATGGATATTTTATATCACAAAGGAAAGCCTATCCTATCCAAGATTATAAAACTTTCTATTATTTCTTATAGTTTTATGTTTCCAGCTATTTTGCGTTTTAACATTTTCATGTTTGGATTTTAATCTATCTAGAATTAAGTTAAAATTTATACAAAGCAAGAATCCAACTTTATATCTCCATACCATTTATCAAATATTCTGTCTGTTCCCAATAATGTGAAATGCCATCTTTATGGATGGTTCCCATACATGTATGGTCCGTGTAAACATGCATACTTCACACACACACATAATATAATCTGTTTCTGATTCTTTATCATGTTGCATTCAATCTATTGGTCACTATGTCAGCTCCACAGTTTTTACTCAATATGTAGACAAACGACCTTCACTGTTCTTAAAGCTTTTCAAATATTATTCCAGACTTCACTTCACTCTGCATATATAAAATCCTACTCAAAGTACATTAATATCCTATTAAAAAAACATAATTAGTGTTCTTTCCAAAATCATAACAACAACAACAACAACAACAAATCCTCCCTGTTACCTTGTAAAGTTCTAGACCAATGCCAGCAGCCATTTTTCCTCCATAGGATTCTGAGAAAATGTAGAATGGAACCGTCTAGCAAGAAAAGGAATATACAAACAATGAAATAGCCTGACTGCTTCTAATTCACACAAATTAATTTAAAATTTTTATTGCTTGTCATGTCCAGGCAAAACAAATCTGCTTTTGTCTTTCTCTCCACATCAGATTGTTCTGTCTGATTAGCACATTGACTCCAGGGTCATTCTTTCACACTASAGCCCTTTAGAAATGACAGAAACAGAAGCCCACAACCCACCTTAGGAGCAAAAAAGGGTTTATCTGAAATCAGTGGGGCACTGAACTCTTGGGAAAGCACACTTTTATTCGATGGATGTCCTGATGCGATTGCTAGCCCTTTACTTAGCTGCTCCAAGGTCTTTACATACCTGGAATTCTTTGTGGCAACTGAAGAAGGTCTTCAGGAGGACCATCATGTCAGAAGCCACCGTGGCGAGGTCCTTTGCATACGCGTTGCTTTTGTTCACATAACTGAAGCCAGTGCCCACAGGATTATCCACAAAGAGGAGACTGGCAGCCTGGAGCTGCAGGCCACAGAGAGAACGAGATGGTGCAATCAGTGGACATTTCTATCATCTCACAGGAGCTCAGCAAATCCCACGTTATGACATCGGTGTGGCTGGTGGTGATGTCTTGCTGCTAAAAGGGGTTTTCAGAAAAGGGACAGGAACGTAGACAGCAGCAGAGAAAGTGAGGCCAAAAGGAAAGACAGACACATAAATGGTGATCAAAGACTCTGAGCGGTCGCTTTCCACACACGTGAGTGCATGGAATGAATGTAACACGTGAGTGCAGGCAGCCCCAGGTGGTGCCCGACTGAGCAAGAAGCAGGATAGAAGAAGCAGGTCACCCAGGGTGGGCCCGGCAGAACTAGAGAGAGAGGAGGATGCGGTTCCCGTGGAGTAAGGAGGACTGGGAAAGGAAGGGGGGTAAGAACGAGGGGAAGGGGAAGACTGAGAACCAGAGGCCTCAAAAGTGGAGGAACGAGGCTCTTGGAGTCACAGTCAAGACATCAGGTGGACTGGAAGGGAGGACTCCCAAGCGTGGTCAGAGGGTGGGACCCTGGAATCTAAGATCACAGAGATGGCCAGCATGTTGGTAAGGACAGGGCCCCAGGTGTCCACCAGAGAAGGTTTCTAAAGGCAGATAGAGAAAAGCCACCAACTTGGAGAAGATAAGAGGAAGCCTAYAGCTAATGTCCAAAGCCTCGGGCAACACAGACAGTGGGGACTGCCAACTCTGCGACCCCCCAGGAGAGGCTGCAGGACGGGTGCAACTGGGGGCTGCCATCCTCGTACCCAGGTGGTTTTTCGTGGTTTGAGATGACTGTCGAGGGGCCCGATTTCCTCAAAGTTTCCAAATCCAGTGCTGGAACCGCCTGGACCACCCTGTGGAAGAGACAGAAATCAACGAAGTAAACCTAAAGAAAATCGAGTCAAGGGGCTGGGGTTGTGGCTCAGAGGTAGAGCGCTCACCTAGCATGCTTGAGGCATGAGTTCGATCCTCAGCACCACATAAATGTAAAATAAAGATATTGTGTCCACTTAAAACTAAAAAAATAAATATTAAAAAAAAAAAAAGAAAAGAAAATCGAGTCAAATCTTAGTCATCACAATGGATGAGCCTGATCACTATAAACAACTTATGATTTAGTGATTGCTTGGTCAGTCTGTGCAAGATGCATGTCCCCGGCGACCCACGGGCTCCGGCAACAGGCTCTTGTGGTAACTTCTGAAGTCTTCCTCTTTGAAAGGACAGAGCTGGGCTAAGAGGCCCTCAAGGGAACCTTCCTGCTTCCTGATTCTCTGAGTTTGAACCTTGCCCCTGCACCGCAAAAGACTTTTCAAAAACAACTCTAACCCTTCTCACTTCAAAAGAAGCGCAGTAGGCCCTGAAGAGGGGATGTGGCTGGCCCTGGGCCATGCGGCAATCAGGGGCTCTGTGGGGATTATCTGGGCTCTGTGATGAACCCCTGTGGATAGACAAGGGCTCAGACTGAGAGGCTGCTTGGTCAAGTCAACTCTCTGGATATAACGGAGCAAATGTGCAAGTCCCAGGGCAGGAGCGCTTGATATGCGGGCATCCAGCAGCAGGGCAGAGGCAGGATTCTGCACTGAAGCTTGGGGACACTACTCTGTGACGGGCAGAAATTCTATGGGCTCTAAAAGGCTCAGGGAGGAGAAGAAAGGGGAGGAGGAGCAAGAAATGAAGGGGCAAAAGTGGGGGAGGTTGGGTGGGCTTTCTGTCGGCCACAGGAGATGGTCAAGGGAAGGGAGGGAGCCTTTCTGGAAAAATCTAGTGGGCCAGCTGAGTTGGGGGTGCATGACAGCATTATCAGTAAGGCCCAAGGCCTAGAATAAAAGGAGATAGCCTCTCTGTGCACAGTCGGATGAGTTGGAAAGGGAGAGAAGATGGAAAGGAGATCATTCCAGCCCAACAGAAACCCAGGCAGTTTGTGCAGGGAAATCTAAAGAAAAGAGAAGGGGGAGGCAGGGCTGAGGGCTGGATGGACAACGGCAAGAGACCCCCACAAGGAAAGGCTCCTCACACTAGTGCCGTGACTGTCACCAACCTTGCTAAGATAAATGGAAGGCCACAACTCCCCTCGATTAGAGGCACTTTGTATCTTAAGATTTCCCAACACAGCAGTAAAAAGTTCACAGTCCAGTTGGAGATGTTCATCTCGTGTGCTGACAGCAGCCACAAGAGGAAGGCTTCGACTGGAATATCCCACCACGGGGAACAGGAGTGAACCACGCCTGCAGGGTGGGCTATGCTGTCAGAGTCAAACTATGAAAACGGTGTGGCAACACTGAAAAATGCTTCCAAGGCAATATGCAACCCAACTTTTAGTCAGGATGGGACAGGATCAAAGTGAAGAGTCCCCCTTCCCTGCAGGCTCCTAAGGCCATGGGTAGGGTGTGGTCTTTAGGGACCAAATGAGAAGCTGGAGAAGCCAGCCGGGCTGGAGGACACTGCTGTTCTATCTGAACACACACAAGATTGCAAAATCTTCAGGATGGGGCACGACCGTGGTGGCCCAGGGCTACCCAGCGACTCTGAAATATGGTAAGTGTGTCAGTGGATCAAAAGAAGTGCGTACATGACTTGAAAGTATCCCTAAAATAGCTTGCTACTCCACTCCTGATGTGACCTCGATTCTCAAAGATCCTCTGGAGAAATCAGTGCGTGAGTCCTTGGTAGATGGCTGCGAGAGAACGCCTTTCATCTGAATTAATTGTTTCTTCTTTAATCATATATATGTATATTTTTTTCCTTTTCCCTTGAGCCTCTCGGGAAATGGAGAAGAGCAATCTTTGTGTCTTCAGTAGCTAACCTTTAAATAGAATCTCAGCCTGAAAGGTTAAACTAACTAACCAAAGGTCACAAATGGCACAGCCAGAGGCCGGAGGCTGGGCAGAGATTGTGGGGCAGAATCCCCCTTCCCTGCAGGCTCCTAAGCTCTCTGAGAGGGGGGTCTCTACCACTCAACTTTGGGGATGGTGACTTCAGATCCAAGCTGCTGGATTTCCTGATATTTTGAAAGAGAAAGGAAACGTCCTGATTTTAAAATCTTGGCAAACCGGTTCAAGTTGACCCAGTAGTCAACCAAAAGTTTCTGGAATCGGGTGTTTTTCAAATTGTTTTTCAGAGAGCCTAGAAAGTACCTGAGGGTGGCCAGGGACAAAGAGGAGGCCGGACACACAGGACTCAGCACCCCCTCCCACCCCAGCCTCAGCACTTCTGCTTTATCTGCTCTGGTTCCTGTGTGGAAGCTTTCATCTGTGGGTAAAAAAAGTTCTGCTGATTAACAAAAAGTTTGAAAACCATTCAAATCGCCCGGCTTAGAAAACTAAGGTTAGGAGAAGGGTAGGGTCTTGCCATGGTTGAAAGCGGCAGGAGGGCACTGAAAACCCAGGTCTCTGGCTGAACCTGCTGGGCTTGTCCCTGACCTGGCCCTCCCAGGTAAACATGCTGCACCCTCCCCTCCAGCTGCCCCATTGGGGCTGACACATGTAGCTTTCTCTTCTGAGCATTTTCCTATCAGCAGCCTTGGGCTGAGCCTCACCTGCAGCCCCTAGAGGAGGTATGTGTGCTGATCCTATGTGAGAAAGGCCCTTCTCTGAAAAGTGTCCATCTTCCCTTCATCTCAGCTGAAAATCTGCAGACAAATTTGGCAGACAAAGCCTGGGCACTGGGAAGCATTTTTGGGAGGAAGTCCCATTTGCATCCCATGGAGATAAGTACCAGSGTGCCCTATTTATTGGCCAACTGGGCCATGCCCACGTTTTTTCAGAGGCTGAAGCAAGACTGTTCTTCAACCCCTCCCTTGAGATTAGTCTTCCAGGCGTGGCTATCTCTWGACAGATATTACAGGAACCAGGAAGTACGTTTCCAGTAGTTCCTTGCCTTCAATCCTACAGTCAGAGCTCAAGGGTAAAATGCAAACACATTTAGGAAGAAGGGTAGGGCCTAACCTTCACACTAAAGACTAGTAGCAGTTCTTTGAAAAGATGAGCTTTTTCTGGGGGCGAGGTATTAGGGTCCAGGAGAAGATCCTGGGGAGGGGGAGAGRAAGGAAAAGGAAAGGTGAAGGAGGTTTGATGTATCTTGGTCTTTGMTTTAGAACCTTTCAAAACATTTCTATCAGTATAAAACCAAARACATCATTAGTCAAGGTTCCTGCAACTGTCTGACTCAATATAAAAAGACCCTGGCAGCTGGGTGAGATGGTGCACATCTTAATACCCGTTATATCGGAGGCTGAAGCAGGAGAATTGCAAGTTTAAGACCAGTCTGAACAATTTAGCAAGACCCTGTCTCAAAATAAAATAAAAGGGCTGGGTGTGGTAGTGCACACCTGTAATTCTTGGGAGGTAGGAGGATCCCAAGTTCAAAGCCAGCCTTAGCAAAAAGCAAGGTGCTAAGTAACTCAGGTCTAACTTAGACAGTTAGACCCTGTCTCTGAGTAAAATACAAAACAGGGCTGGGGATGTGGCTCACTGGTTGAGTGTCCCTGAGTTCAATCCCTGTACCCAAAACTAAACTAATTAATTAATTAATTAATTAAAATAAAAGGGCTGGAGATGTAGCTTAGTGGTAGAATATCCCTGGGTTTAATCCCCAGTACCACAAAAACAAACCAAAAAACCCTCAAAAAAGGCTAGACTCCCTTTACCCTCMAATTTCACCTCCTTGGCTATACCTTTTCCTCAATTTGCCTCAGGATGCCAAAGCCCCAAGCCTGGCTGCTGSACCAAACCAGAAACTGTTGATCACTGTGAGCCCTTAGGAATAAGCAAAGAGGCCAGGTACAGTAGTACACGTCTATAATCCTAGCAACTCAGGAGAATGAGGCAAGAGGATCACAAATTCAAAGCCAGCCTCAGCAACTTAGCAAGGCCTAAGCAACTTAGCAAGAC